AAGGTTTCTGAAAGGTTGCCCTATTAATTATGCTTCATGGAACGATGTTTACGGTATACAAGGGAGATAAAAACAAATAACAATGCATCTGAAACCTTACCAATAAAACCAAACTCAGGGCCATCTAGTCAATTTTAACTCCCAGGGACCCAACAACTCCCCCTCACATCCCAGTCGTCCGGTTCTGCAGCCACGTGTGTGTCAAACAAAGCTATGTGAACGCAAAAGGCCACGCCTCATTAGGGACAGATCACTAAGAAAACGTCTGCGCGGTGACACCCAGGCGCTCGACCTAGCTTCTCTTTGAAGGGGCAAGTATTCAGTGAGATACACCTTTCTGATCAAATCTGACATCAGCCCGCGGCTAGGGCCTACCTATCTCTTGTGACACTGCCAGGCATTTGGGCACCTCAGACACGCCTTCTTTCTGGGGGCTAGAGGTTTAGTCAAGCAGGAGAAGCTGCCCTCCGTTGCTCGCGGCCAATCCTCCCACGTGGGGGGACGCTTGAGACGCGTCCACACGTCTGACTGAACGGTGGCAACGCTCGGACTGCGTGCGGCTCCCAGACCCGTCGAGGTCTCGGGGTTCAGTCAGTCCACGCTGCGGCCGCCGCCGGGACACCCGGCCCCTCCTGCTTCCGGGGCGACCTCGCCCTCGGAGCGCCTCCCGCTCGGCCCCTCGGGCCCCGACGCCGCCCCTCAGCCCCGGGGAGTCGCGGCCCCGACGCCACCTCTCACCTGAGCCGGTGACGCACACGGCCGTTACCAGAGGCCTCAGCACCGGGGCCCGTGGCTCAGGACGAGGAGCCACTGCTGCTACTCCCCCGCCACCGATTCGGGGGTCCCCTGGCCGCCGCCGCCGCCGCCATTTTCCCCGCGCAGTAACCCCCCACCTGCCAACGCTAGCCTCCCACCTGGGGTCGGGAGGGGACGCCGCGCAACAACGTGGGGGTCGCGTGGGTCAGCTGGGGAATCCGCAGGGGTCACAACCTCCGGGAGAGCCCGCCGCTAATTCATCCCGAAACGGGGAGGCGTCCGGACCGTCGCCCTAGTAATGCGTCCCGCCAGGCTCCGTCCTGATTGGCTAGGAGCAGCCGTGACGCGACGGCGTCCCGGGCTGCGTGGGAAGCCCTGGTCCCCGGAGCCCCGCCCAGCTCTCCGAACTGGAGAAACCCGGAGCCCCCGCCTCCCGGGGCCCCCTTAAAGGGCTCGCACGCATTTCCTCCTCCGGCCTCTTAGAAAGGGGTGTGGTCTGAGCTGGGAAGGAATTACAGAAAATCAACGGTGTCACTGTCCCTGGAAACCTAGTGACTCGTCTAACTCCTCGCGTTTCAGAATGGAAAGCAAAAATTGGAGAAGGCGAATTTGCAAGGCTTTATTTGGCTGAAGTCTCGTGGTAAATCAGTAAGAGTAGAGCTACTACCAAGATTACTACAACTCTGGGTAAAGCTCTTTCTATTGATGTTGCATGCCGTCTGGTGAGTTCCGACCCATAGCGACCCTGTGTACAACAGAAGGAAAGACTAATCCTGCCCAGCCCTGCGAGCCCATTGTTGCAGCCAGGGGACCTTTCCTTAGCATCCACAGCTCTTTCATTCTACATGTCTTAAAGGACATTCACCGCGTTCTACCATAATGTGCCTGTCCCCATAAGCCTACTTCTTAATGGCAGGGAAGCGCTTTTCAGTTCTCCTATGCAAGGCCTTCCTTGTGATGGCTCCCAATAAATCTCCTGTATCAAAAGCTTAAAACAATAAAGAAACCATGGTCATATACCACTCACATGCATCATTTTATATTATATTTATTTTATACTTTATTCAACGAGGAGCGGAAGGGGGTGAACATAAGTGATTATAGAATTTATATAATGTACATGTAGATTTTGGGATGCCCAGCTTTAATATAGCTAGACAATACCAAAATTCTCAGACATCCCACCCCTCCCGCCAGTTTCGGGTGCTTCTCTCCTGAGTCAGCCTTGCATTTTTCTCTAATTTTGTTCAGAACTATTAAATGGTTAGCACCCTTCAGATGTGCTAAAGTTTGTGTTATCATGTTATAAGATGACAATGTACAACGCAGGGGAACCTAGCCCTTCTTTCTACTCTGCCCCTGAACCCTCATATTTTTTATCTTTAAAACACAATTCCTAGGATCAAAGATGCTGAAATGCTATTCGCCCATTCCTCCCAAGATGGTACAGTGGCTACAACCAGGGGCTCAAACCTGACCATCGTGAGGCTGGCTCTGGACTCGGCAGTGTTTCCTTCCACAGGGGATCTCTTGGAGTTGGAACCCGCTACACAGCACTACCCCCACCCACTCACCCCCACACACACACCACGAAGTTTTCAGCTTCTTGAGGTTTAGAGGTCAGAGTCTAAGAGAAAAACACCCTGATGTCACTTGTGATGGGTTTTGAAAGCAGGGATTATGTAATGTTTACCTTGGTACCTCCTTAAGTCTTATGGAGCCTTGCTAATTGAGGACAAGAACTCTGTGTAGTATTTGAATATCAGAACTGTTAGCTAAAGGTTGACAGACTTGACTGAATTGGCCTGGTTTCTCCTCTATTTAACTTTACAATCTTGGGTCTTTCTTGTGAAGGGAGCCTTGGAACCTGAAGGATTTGTAAGGAAAGAGAGGATCAAAACTAGAGTCCAAGGGCATATGGGAAAAGACTGCAGGACAAACCCAAGGAGAATGGGGCGAATGCGCCCTGGTGAGGTCCCTCTGCGAGTATTGCACCACAAAGGTTGAAACTGTCACTGCAATTGGGGTAAACTTTTGGTAAAGTCACCCAGGAGATAACAGGAGAGATCTCTCTTCTAAAAATCGCATTCCCACAGCTCCTAACTGATCTTTAGAATATTTCCTACAGCATACTTCTGCCCAAATGTCTCATAAACACTTTATCACTCTTACACTATGTGTTCAACCAGCTTTTTAAAATGTGAACTAATAGTCTAGTTGGATCAAATGTGTCTCTGATCACAATCTCTCCTAGTTAGGTAAATACCAAGTCAGCAAAGTTCAAACGGTGCTGAAGGCACCTTTGCCTTAGTTCAGACTCTAGCCCTACTGGTAACTTTCTTTGACTCTTAGTATAGAGAGTACTTCAGACTAGAACTAAGGTTTGCTCTAAGTCCAAGGCTAAAGCTGTTCACCTCAGACCTCCAGGTGGTATAATAATTCTCATCATTGTGCCTATAGAATTTCCCTGAAATGAGGGTCTACCAAGCCTTCCCTGATAACGGAGAATTTACCGGTAAGTAGTTCAAAGACAGTAGTTCAAATCCTACCTCCTTCCATCTAGTAGCTATGTGGCCTTGGAAGTCACATAATCTCTCTAAGACCCAGTTCCTTTCTGTCTTTTTTTCACGTTTCTCCTTTGTCTAAGAGAACAATGTTTCCCTTCAGAATTGTTGTATAAAGGAAAAAGAAACTTTACCTTGTAGCCAAGCTTCATCTTGGACCCCTCCTCCAAGGCTATATGCTCCAGTCTCCCAAGTCACACGTGGGATTTGTCCGTTGGTGTGGCCCAGGTAGCAGTGGTGCTTCTACCACAAGCTAGACCCATACTCACAGCTAGCTGCCTTCCCCATCAACTGCTATAAGGGTAGAACCAGTGTCCTCAAGTACAGCATATGCTGTTTCCTAAGCCGGAAGAGATCTCTCAAGTACTAGGTTTCTGTCTTAGAGGTCTCACTGCCATTGGGTGGATGCCCAGTCACAGTGACATTCTAGGACAGGGTAGAACTGCCCCCTGTGAGTTTCTGAGACTGTCACTTTTTTTTTTAAAACATTTTATTAGGGGCTCATACAACTGTTATCGCAATCCATACACACATCAATTGTGTAAAGCGCATTTGTACATCATTCTCAAAACATTTTCTGTCCACTTAAACCCCCGATATTAGGTCCTCATTTTCCCCTCCCTCCCCGCTCCCCACTTCCTCATGAGCCCTTGATAGTTTATAAATGGGTATTTTGTCATATCTTGCCCTGTCCGATGTCTCCCTTCACCCACTTTTCGGTTGTCTGTCCCCCAGGGAGGAGGTCACACACAGTTCCTTGTAATCGGTTCCCTCTTTCCTACCCATTCTCCCTTTACCCTCCCTGTTTTGCCACTCACACCACTGGTCCTGTAGGGCTCATCCGCCCTGGATTCCCTGGATTTTCAGTTCCTGTCTGTACCAGTGTACATCCTCTGGTCTAGTCAGACTTTCAAGGTTGAATTCGAGTCATGGTAGTGGGAGCGGGGAGGAAACATTTAGGAACTAGAGGAAAGTTATATTTCTCATCGTTGTTACATCGCACCCTGGAGACTGTCACTCTTTACCCTGAGGAGCGCCTGGGGGCTTCAAACTGCTGGCCCTGCAGATCAGAGCCCAACTAGTAAGCATTACCCCACCAGGGCTCCTATTCTCAGTGGCCGTGGTAGGTGATGCAAGGTACAAGAACTTGATCTTTTCTTTGAAGAGAATATTCAGGCATGTTCTAGGTCATTGGGTCATTTCACTCTTCAAATTAGAGCTGTACTTTGATGAACAGTATTATACCAGGTTTTTTCTTTATTTTGATCCTTCTTTATGCTTATACATTAACATCTGGGAATATTAAGTAAACAGGGTGTGGAAATCTGTTCGCTAATTTTGCATACCTTATGTCTGTCTGTCTGTCTAATTTTTTTTAAGAAAGCAATTGCACGGGGATCTCCATTTCAGACTCTGCTTCTAGAAAGCTCCACTAAGGCAGATGATCCTAGGATGGAATGCTAGTGATGCAGTGGGTTCAGCACTGCGCTTGTTAACTGCAAGGTCAGCAGTTCAAGACCACGGGCTACTTCACAGGAGAGAGATAAGGATGCCTGCTCCGGTGAAGAGTAATAGTCTGGCACACCCGAAGGAGCAGTTCTATTTTGTCACACAGGGTCACTCTAAGTCTGAATCCACTTGCTGGCAATGAGTTGAGTGTGCTTTGGTTTCCATCTCTGTGGAAGCAGACTGCCACATCTGTCTCCTTGGAGCAGCTGGTAGATTCAAATTGCCTTTTGGTTAGTATTCAAGCATTAACCCAAGGAGACCCCAGGGCTCCTTGCACTCAAGAGAAGGAGAGTGAAACAGGGAGGTTGGAGCCAGAGAGAGAAATTAACTGAGAATAATGTCAGCTGGAGACTGGCATCAGCCTGATCCCTGGGGAGCTCTGGAGCATGAATTGTACCACAGAGACCTTGAGATAAAGGGGGCAGCCTCTTGTCTTTCTTATCCATCAGCTATTGACTGCTGGCTGCCAGAGGATGGGGGAGCAAAACCGCAGCAAGGCAGTTCCCATTTGGCTGAAGGCCATCCCCCTGAGGAGAGGCTATGGGCCATTAACAGCCAACACTCACAGCAGCAGAGAAACAGGTGCACCATCTGGGAAGGGAACCAACAGCGTCTACTCCCAACACAGAGCCATGCTGAGATATCAGCTTCATAAAAGAATACGGGCATCATCTCACCTACGGAGAGTATCCTCGGAAGGCAGCACCAGAATGCTTCGAAATCGATGGCCTTCAACCCTAAAAACCTACACATCATTGAGTCTTTGAAAAATGTTTCCTTGTGAATTAGGTGAACTACAAACCAGGAAACTCAATGTCGTTGACTCTTTAAAGCCTTGTGATTGTGAGGGAGGTGAGGGTTTACAGAGCAGATCATCAGTCTTACATTTAACTACGCACGCGCATTGTGATGATCCAACTCATTTCTTTCAGTGCCCTCGATGTATCATGATGTATCCGGTTTCCTCCCTGTATTTCCTGTCTCCGTTCCTCCTTTGCCAACCATCTGTATTTGTCCTTGAATACTGTCTGGTTTTGTTTTGTTTCTTATCTTAAAAGGTTGATTATTCTAACACAATGGAGCCCTGGTGGTGTAGTAGTTATGCATTGGACTACAATCCACATGATCAGCAGTTCAAAAGAAACACCCACAATTCCGCGGGAGAAAGACTGGACTTTTTTCTCCCAGAAACAG